AGGAATGGGATTCTGACTGGCTCCAGGTGTGGTGTGGTTCTAGGTTGACTTCCTGGGGTCAAGAAGGGACATTCCTCCAGGAAAAAGTAGAGGACACATTAGCCCACAGGCTACCAGTTACTTTCTAGTTGGAGACCTTTTATGGAGGTGACAAGAGGTTTTAATTACGTATGGAGAGGAGCCCTCCAGTAATTTTCCACTGTCTGGCTCTGAGACATTTGCCCTAATCTTCAACTTTGGAGGTCATCTCATTATCAGATGGCATTTCCTCTTTCTTCGTTTGAAGACACTGTCTTCTAGATCTTTCCCAGCCATCCTCGGATCCAAGATACTGCGGGGAAACAGAAACAATCTGTCTGTAGCATTCTCTTGTTTCTTCTAACTTAGTTGGTGAAGTGTTTACTTGCATTTTTCTCTCCCTGAAAACATCCTTCATTAACGGTATCTTTTCATCTCAGTCCTCTGGGCTCTTCCCCTTGCCTCCCTCTGCCTGCACCTTCTTGAGTTTTTTTGCATCTCACAGCCTTCCTTTGCCCTGACCTCCTGCAAGTCCATCCCTGTGCTGGGGAGCAAGGGACCCCTCTCTGGATGCAGTGGGTGGGTACATCCATGAAGTTCTGCTCTTAGTTGACGGGAGAAGTCAGAGCTTTGGGTTGTAAAATGTAAGCGGGCCTTAGAACCCCTCTCAGCACCCCCCCTCCAGGTGGTTTTGAGGCGTTAAGGAAAGGAGTAGTTCAGATGACCACACGTCCTATTGCCATGGCGGGGAGAAGCAAGGGAGGGCAGAAAGGCCGGCCTTCTTTAGCTTTGTGGTTTTCCTTCATGAAATGGAGAGGTATCCAATGAGGAAAATGTTCCCCAGCCACTGTGTGAAGCACACAGAACCTGGGGACACACAGCAGGACAGACAGAACTACTCACATTGGCAGGCAGTGTCCACTCTGCCAGGCAGTGTTCATGCCAGGCAGGTTGATGCCAGCAATGACCAAGGTGGGAAAGCCAGAGGGACCTGGGGTGGAACCTTGGCTCACATGTTCAATAGCTGAGACCCTCCCTGCACCCCCTCTCCAAAATCCCTGCCCAGGTGCTGTCCCCAGGGCCGGGACCCAGCTGTGGATAAACACTCCTGGCACTGATGTTCAGGGAGGGTGACAGACAGCAGCACTGTCAAGAGAATACTATCTGCTCACAGGTTACAGAAGGCACAGCATTAGGATGAGATGGCCAAGGAGACACAACCACAGAGACCAAGTCTCCAGGGGGCACCCCAAAAGGGAAGGTGCTGAAGACAAGAGACCTGGGTCGCCAGTTTGTCTTTGGCTGGCTCTCCCCCATCCACTTGAGTGTTCCCAGCCTAAGCTGGGACTGAACTCAGGATGTATCTGGCTCCTAGAGTGAGTCAAACTGCCTAGTCTGGGTAAGAGCTTCAGCTTTCCAACCCTTCCCCCTCCCTGTCTGTCCACACCTGAGGCCAGGACTCCCTGTTGAGTCCACCTGTGCCCTCAGCATGAGAACAGCCCTGATACTGGGCGGATCTGTGTGTGCTGAGCTCCAGACTGGCCCTCAGGTCTGGTGTAGATCCGTGCTGAGAAAAAAGTCAGGGAAATGCTTTTCTTTCCCATTAAACCAGAGTAACCCACCCTCTAATCAGGGCCAAAGTGCTGAAAGTCAGGCCCCCCCAGCTGTAAGTAAAAACATGAGCATGTGACTGGTGGCTGGATGCTGATGGGGAGGCTGGGAAGTCAAAGGTGTCCCCAAAGGTTTCTCTGGAGGATCCTATTGGTGGGACCCTCCAGAGAAGGGATGATGCAAGAAGACAAGCCAGCCAGGCACCTTGACTCATGCCTATAATCCTAGCTACTCAGGAGGCCATGATCAGGAGAATCATGGTTGGAGGGAAGTCAGGGTGAATAGTTTGTGAGCACCTGTTTCAAAAATACCCAATAATGAAAAAATGACTGGAAAAATGGGATAGATTGCTTGCCTAGCAAGCGTGAAGCCCTGAATTCAAACTCCAGCACCACCAAAAAACAAAAACAAAGAAGCCAAGCCAACCTCAGTCATTGGGGCTAGCTGGCTGTAGACGGTCACCAGAGTCAATTCACAGCCCTGGTGCAGGGCCCCCTGGACATCTGTCTTACCTGTACCCACTGTCTGCAGGCACCAAGTACAGGATCCTCAACCCACAGACCAAGTCCTTAGGGCTCCCTCCTCCCCTTGTTCTCAGCTCAGTAGCTACATGTCCAGCAGAGAAAAACTGGAGTCCTTACGAAATCTGGTTGGACACTGCAGTCTGCAGACAGAGGGCTGATTAACTTGCATGCCCCACAGATGTTGGGGCACTGGTCTGCTGCAGGGCAGACTGGATGTTGACTTGTGCTATTCAACATCCACAACCATTTGAGTGGAGACCAGGGCTACATGGTCATCATCAAAGGAGGGACCACAGAGACCCATCAGTGTCCCTGGGTAGAAACGAGATGCAGGAACATGTTTATTAGAGAAATGTGAAGCCTGAACTCAGGGTCTAACAAAATCAATGAACATGCGTCCTGTTCAGGAGGTGAGTCAGAACAGTAGCTCTCTGTACTGACTTGGCCTTAACCAGCTGGAACCACACTCAATAAGCACAGCCTGGGTACTGCTGCTACCCACCTCAACAGGACTTGGTGGTCCTGATCACACTCATCCTGAATAGCTGTGCATGGTAGTCCCCAAATTTCACAAGGGATGCTGAGAAACTGGCACACATCCAGAAAATGGGGAGCAGGATGAAAGGGCATGTCCTCTGAACCCAGTTTGGAGAACTGGGGATGTTTGAGCAGAGGCTTGAAGGCCTGGAGAGATCATTCACGCCTTTGCTGCCTAGTAAGGCCTGCACCACGGGGTCAGCCAAGCCCTGGAGAAAGCAAGAAGACAGGACTGAGTTCTTGGCTCTGGCAGGTCTCAGACCAGTGCACCCTGAAGCTTTCTGTTACCAAAGACAACATATTTCTCTAAACAGTCCACTTGGAATTGACCTCTGTCACTTCCAACCCTGAGTCCTGATACAAATGTCACAGATCTGGGCAACTCTACCATTCTACCAACTTTATCCCATCTCTGTTGTGATTGGGTATAAGAAGAATGTCATCAGTAAAGTCTAGAGTTGGATGCTTGCCATGTGCCACCGATGGTGGGAAGTGCCTGTCCTATGTCGTATCCCATGCAGTCAAGAGTTCGAGATAAGTGAGGACCTGTAACAGAAAACCCAGCAGCCAGAGCCACACCATCAAAGACAGGTGTATCTCCCTTCCCAGGCTTCTACCTCAGGCTCTGCACTGTCCCCTGGGCAGGTCATTCTCTGCAGCCCAGCAAACATCAAGTCACATCTTCAGTTACTGACCAACCACTGTGGCCAGGCTGAATGGAGTCAATTTAGTGGCTGAAGCCAATAGGCCCACGTGTGAGATGAAGGTTGGTCGTTCTTGGTGGAATCACAGGGCCGAGAACTGGGGGCAGGAGGAAAGAGGAGGAGGAGAAATTTCCAGAGGAAATTTTGGACACATTTCTGGAAGTAAGAATGGATATTTGTTAGAACATAGATACCTATGGCAACAGGCACCCCAATTTCACAGGAATTCTCTCCTTATCGGCATTCTATGACTTCTCTGTTGAATGTCAGCCTGTCCCTGGAACAAGTGGTGGGCCCCGTCCCCAGAATCAATGCACCTTTCTCTCTCCCTTGGAAGTTGCTGTATTCAAATCTTCTTTCTAGAGAACTCTGGCTTTGTCAGCCTCCTTGTTCAGTATGTTTAAGGTATCCCTCAGCCTTCTGGGCCTGTCACTAGATAGAAACACCTGGAACACAGTGAATTTCCTTCCTCAGAGCCAAGGTAAAGGAGAGGTAAAGGATTCACTCCTCAAGAGAAACTGCTCAGACAAAAGTAGGCCTCTCTTCTTTACTGATGATCTTCCATCCTCTGATTTGAGGGGGAAAACTTGACCAAGGGTACCAACTTGTGGGCGTGACATCCACCTGCCTGCCCTCTTTAGGTGAGGACAAAGTCAGAGGCTCTTGCACCGAGGGGTGATGGAGAGGGTGGCACAGCTGTGCTGGAGGTGAGACAAAACATTCCTGGGTTTGGTCCCAACATGCAAACAACTGAACAAAAAGCATTAGCTCCTGAGATTGGGACTAAAGAATGTCTGTCGCCATGGTTATCAGGAAATAGCGCACTTTATGTAATGAGGTCTTCATTAGACGCCAGGTCACCCGATAGTCCAGTCTCGGGCCAGATGAGAGTGTCCGAGTGTCATTCCTTATGCAGGTACATGAACACAGCTGTGCAATAGGCACTAGAATCCCCTCTGTCTTTAAAAATGAGTCTTTCCTTGGGGAAGGGATGGGGGGCACAGACGGAGGTCTGGGCCTCATGACCTAGCTGGCGATTGCTCGCCAGCACTTAGCACCGCACGTGGGCACAGCAGCGCTGCGTGTGTGAGCGCTCCGGGCCTCAGTGTGGGGGTCACCCCACACTGGAGCTGTGTGGGTGTGAGGCGGGGTTGTTGGAGCAGTCATCTCTTCTTTAGTCCTACGTTCTACCCAGCTGAGAGGTGCCCAACAACGACAAAAGGAAAATGAAGCCACCAGCCTTCACCCTCGCTCCCCTCACGCCCCTCCTTCCCCACCCTCAAGGCTGCTCCCAAAACTGGAGGGGGGAGGTTCTCTGAGCCAGGACCCCCGCTGTGTACCACGTGGGCTCGCCCAGGTCGGCTGTGTTACAGCCTCAGAGAGTTCGGGACCCGGGATCTCCCCGCTGGAGATGGCCCAGTGGACTGGAGCTTGGCGGCAATCAGCCTGGAGCTGGGGGCTCCGGAAACCTGCAGAGCGGCTCGATCGCCCCCACCCCGCAGGAGCAAAACAAGAGCACGCGCACCTGCCGGCGCCCCGCCCCCTCGGCGCTGACCAATCGCGGCGCGGGGCGGGGTCGGGCGCGCCAGGCCCGGAGCCCTAACCCGAGCCCGCGCGGGGCGCCGCGGCAGAGCCAGGAGCCAGCGCAACCTGGTAGCCGCAGCCTCGTCCCCGCCGCCCGCAGCCTCCTCTCTGCCGCCGCCCCCGGGGCATGGCCTGTCTGATGGCCGCTTTCTCGGTCGGCACCGCCATGGTGAGTGAGCGCATCCTTCCACCGCTGGGCTGGGTTTCATTTTCAAGGAGCGCCAGAAACACACAAAGCGCTGCACGCCGGTGCTCACATCCGCTGCCTCGGAGCGCGTCCTCTGGGCGCTGACCCAGGGCGCTGGTGAAGAGGGTCCGGCTCCGTTCGCTCCCCGCCCTGGCGACTTGGAGCCTCGGGATGCTCCTTGCGCTGGCGGAGGATGCCCGGGAGGTGGAGGGACCAGGAGAAGGACGCGGGACAGCCCCACAAGTGGGCAGATGGCCTTGACCTCGTCCGCTTCTGCGTGAGGGGTTTGGGGCCTTGGATCCCCGGGGCGTACTGGGGAGGGGCCGATCCCGGTGCTGGCGCGCTGCTGTGGGCTTGGGTAGCGGGGACTTCTTGCGCCACCCTCGGGAGCGCCGGGCACAGTCCGGGGAACAAAAGGGGAAGCTGCTCCCTAAGAGCCGGGGACAGCCACACGCGAAGGGGGCGACGGAGTCCCCGGGGAGACAGAGAAGGGGCGAGCCTGGATCCTTCTGGCTGTCTTTCTGCGCGAGCTGTCCCCGGGTGGGGACAGGAGGCGCGCATCTCACTCCTCTCAAGAGTACCAGCTCTGAGGCGAATATGGGGTCCCGGCGAATTCATTGCTAGACGTAGTTACCCCAAGTGCGAGTCCCAGGGGGTGGTCAGACATCTGCCCCTGCGTGTATACTCGTGCCGGAACGGAAAAACACATTGGACTGCCCACAGCCCACCTACCCACCTGTCCTCATCCTAGGGCCTTTCACTTGTAAGCCTAGCACACCGACATTGCAGTTAGGGACATATGCTAGATTTCAGACCATCTAGAGTACAAATAGCGAGTCTTCTGTGTCCAACTCGGGATCATCCCTTTCCCCACCTATCTATCTGTGTATTACTATCCGCCGGTTCTTCCCCATAGGCTGTAAGCCCTCACCCCCGCCCCTCCCCTTCATTTCATTTTAGCATCCTGTATTTGAAGTCAGCAGGGCTCAGCAGGATTTGACCGACAGTTACCTCTTGCTTTGAGCTCAAGAGGAAAAAAAAGTAGCTGGCTTTGTGCGCATGCTCTGCTCTGACACCCGCATCCTATCGTTGCAAACAGGTTACTGTAGAACCTACTGAGCCGCGCCGGCTCATTATATAATGAGTTCGTGTAAACGGATAGAATGGGACGAAGATACTTGTTAAGACGGTTGCTAGAGGGAAGGGTGAGCCAGGCTGGGAGACCCAGCTCCTACCTCTGGGTTTGCTCTGTCTTAAGCAGAAGAGGCAATGGGAAGAAAAGAAAAAGAAAAGCCAATCGTCTTCTCATGGCATTTGTTTTTATCTAGTTGAATGGGTAACACTTGGGAATTCTTCCTTATGCCTTGTTCATATACTTGGGATTTCTATTATGCTAATGGGAGATTTAGATTATTGGCGTTCAGGCAGGTAGAGGAAGTTTTGGATCTTTTGGGTGCTGGGCACTTAGAGTCCTGGCAGAGCTGCAGGTGGCTTGTATGTGTGGGAAATGAACCAGAATGTTTTAAGATACACATTTTTCTTACTAATTTTTAAATGTTATGGTTTGATACAGCCTCAGAGCTCTCGTGTGTTCTCACATGGAGGTGCTAATGACCGAGCTTATTTTATCAGGGAACCTTGGTCTATTTTAAAAATCATTTTCCTCCCTGAAAACTGGCACTTTTGTTTTAATGTAAAATTTTCTGTCTGTCTGCAGCCCTGAACACACCAATCTTGTCTGATCTTACAATTGAGCAGCGTTGGGCCTGATTGGTACTAGGATGGGAGACCAACTGGGAATACAGTGATTTAGGCTTAGTCAAAGAAAAACCAAGTTAAATTTTAAAAAATTCTCTACAAGTTACAAATAGCCCTCAAGAAATTCCCAGAATTCTGAGTTTTGCTTTTCCATCACTTCTCTGCCCTGAGGACTGACTGGTGCTGACTGAATGAGCCAGAAGTCTGAGTAGAGGCCTTGGAGGGTGGCTAGAGTATACACGGGAGCAGCTGGGGTCCCTGAGCTTGGGGGGAGGCACTCAGGAGTCACGTGTTCTTAACGAGATGGTGGCTTTTGGAGTTTTGTAGCATTTTGAGTGGCCACTCAAGTGCAATCTGTCCTTCAAGCTAAGCTCAGGGTGTGCCATTTTGGGCAGTTGACATAAGGATTACAGGTCTGTATGTCTTCCTTTGATGTGCCCAGGATGGCAGGATGTAATGTCTAGGTGGGCACCATGGCTGGCAGCAATGGAGCAGAGAAAAGAGAAAGAACCATGTGCCAACACTTTGTGTGTCTGGCTTCTCCTCCCTTCCCCTTTCCTAGCTTTCCCAGGATGCTGAGGCAGGTTTCCATCCTGGACTGCCTCTGAGGACAGGGTTTCACAATGGCTTGGGGGTGGTTTTCTGGCCTCTGAGGTATTCCCCAGCCACACAGGCATCTTCACCAGCCCAGCATTTAAACTCAACTCCCCGCCACTCTGCTCTGCGCCAGGAAAATGTGCTCACAAACGGCCACCCAGAATGGTCTAAACAGGGTCTTCTGAGAATGAACCTCCAGGGGTGATCACTGCTATTGGTCATCTGTTTCATAGACTGTGTGTGGGTCAAAGCCAGAGCCTCAGGAACCTGGGACACGGCACAGTGAAGGAGATAAGCGGGACAGAATAGGTGTTTGTTTTATTTTTAATGAGCTCAGGAGGCTGAGGAAAAGCTCACAGTAACCTACATTGCTGGCAGTGCTTATCTGAGGCTATTTCCAGAGAGCTGGTCTATTTTGGAGTGACAGGCCACTGCCTTATCACTCAGGTTTCTGTGATTTTATTAATTGGGTGAGGCCACTGGACACTCACGGAGGGAGGGTAGGACTGTGTGCATTACTGGGGGCGGGGAGGTGTGGAAGGGTGGGGCTGTACAATTTCCTAAGTTTTCTGTGGCTTTTCCTGTATCCCATGATCAAGAGGCACCCACACACTTGTGACCTGTAGAGAACTAAGCAGCACTCAAGCTTTGTTAAGGTGGCTGGGGGAGGCCAGCTCAGACTTGGAAGCCCTAGGGAGCCGGACCCCAGCCTAGCCACCCCCTAACTGAGACATCGTGGACCAGATAGATCACATTAGCGCTGCGAAGATGGTAAGAGCACCATCATTCTAGGCGGGAATTTACTAGGAGAGCTGTCATTGCTGAGTCAATAGTCGCTATGGTTTGTAGTCACTTACCTACTATGCACCAGGCAGCACCCTTTAATACTTCACATCGTGAATACCTGACTCTGGCTCTGACACTCAATCCCCAATCAGTTGAGTCACCCAGCTGTGTCCTACTGGCTAGGCATCCCCGTTACTACCTGCTGGTTAGACCCTCCTCCCCATCTCACAGCACTGTAGGTGATGGTTGCATTCTGTAGATCTGGGCCTGGCACCCCCTGTGTGGGATCCCTCCCTGGCTCCCCATTGACCTCTAGACAAAATGCAAATCCTTTCACAGAGTTCCCCAGCCTTTCACCATTTTGATCCTTTATCACTCTAGTCTCATTGTATGCTCAAGCACCTGCTGCCTCCTGCCCTCCTCCCTGTCCTACCCCCCTGAGTTTTCTAGAGGTGTCTGAATGCCTCCCCCATACACACACAGCTCCCCTACAGGGCCACCATGCACCATCTCACCCATCTCAACTTGCTAATCTCAGTTCAGACTGTATTCCTACAGACAGTTTGTCTTAAGCTCCCTACCTCAGGGTCTGTTCTGAGTCTCCATGGCCTTTGCCTCACCCTACTGTGATGGCCCATTTTTTCACCTGGGGCTCAATCCTGAGCTCGCTGAGTCTTGTTAGCTGACAATTGAATGAGTGTGTGAGCGACTGCATGGGCTTGGGTCTAGTGGAAGAGCCAGGATGTAGGTATGATACCTACTACAACTGGTGGATGGATGCAGGAAAAGAGGGGCAATGACCATCCAGCCCAGTGTTCCTGTGGCTTTCCTCAACAAGGAAGGAAGTGACCTGTTCCTGGGCTTCCTCAGGATTGGACACCTGTGGTGGGTGCCTGCCATGAAGGATGAGCAGTCCGCAGCAGCTGAAATCTGAGGGCCAGGAGACTCATAACTGAGAGAGGTTGCTGGATCAGTACTCCCTCCCCTCCTGGGTTGGAGTTAGCCTGAAGCAGGTTCTGGCTTAGAACCAGCACCTTTAACCTTCTGCTTAGCTGGTAAGGCGGGGGTTGGTGTGGACATCGAGAGTGGCCTTAGCTAACTCTTCTTCTCAACATCTCCAGCCCCAAAGCCAGAACCTTGTGCTTCCCAGGCTCCTTTGGGGTCCCTGTGGTTATAAACCGCCAGCAGCTGTGGCAGGTGGATGGGCAGAGGGAAGGCCCCTCACGTCTGCTTTTTGGGGTGGGCTCTGGGCTGCAGAGCTAGGACAGGGTCCTGGGACCCCTTTAAGAGGTCCAGCAAGAGAGCCACGTGGCAGGGGGATGCAGAGGCTCTCTGCAGGAGATGGCTGAGAGGGGTGTGTGTGTGTGTGTGTGTGTGTGTGTGTGTGATACATGTGGTGTTTATATGTTTGTATGTAGGTTTACATGTAGGTTTTTTTTTTTTAACTCAGGGCCTTGTACTGGCTAGGCAGGTGCTCTTGTCACGTAAGCCACACCCCCAGTGCTTTTTACTTTAGTAATCTTTCAGAAAGAGTCTCTCCTTTTGGCCAGGGCTGCCTTCCGACCCAGATTCTTCTGCCTGTGCCTCCCAAATTTCTGGGATTACAGATATGTCCACTGTATGTGAAGCTGCTTTTCTATTACCAAGAGATCATAATCCCCACGCCTACCTCTCCCACCCCCCATTTGTGTTTTAAGTATTCACAGACCCCCAGCTTAGAGATAATGTCTGAATCCTTAAGTACCAATTCAGTTCCATGCCATCAAGGGGACATTCAAATTGGGAAGGTTGCTGGGTTTGTGGAAATTTTTATGGACAATACACTTTGGCTTTATTTTGGAGTTTTATATAACAACAATAACAAATAATAAGCAACTTTAAATTAATAGTTAAAAACCTGTGAAAAAAGAATAATCCCACGTGTCTCTTCTCTAGAATAAATGACAGCATCTCCTGGTCCTAGGGCAGTCAGAGTGGCGTAGATGACCAGGCATGATAAAGGCTGCCTGTTCCAGCACTGCAGACTCTCAGCAGTATGGTGGAGTGTCGTAGAAGACCCGCACTTTTGGCATTTCTCTTGCTTCAGGAGACAACTAGAAAAGTCCAGCATAATGCCTGTCCCCTTGCACTCTGCTGGGTTTGGAGGCTCCTGAAGCTTATCGATTGGGCCAGGGTTGCCAAGCTGTTAGAAAAGCATATCCCTTTCTTTGCATAAATCCGTTTGGGTCTTGGCACATCTGCTACAGTTCATTTGAGTCCCAATGGAAACTTTAAAAGTCAAAGCCAGGGGCTCAGGTTGTGGCTAAGTGGTAGAATGCTTGCCTAGCATGTACAGACCCTGGGTTCCATCCCCGGCACTGCAAAATAAGAAAAAGAAGTCAATGCTTGCTACAAAACATTAAGTGCCCTCGTGATGCAGTGAACATCTCCCTGTGTTTTGATGACTCAAGTTCGGGGATCACTTCTGCTCCTTCCTTGATGGTGGGACTTGGAACAGGTTCTTTAAATTGTGCCTCAGTCTCCTTGTCTATATAATAGAAAAAAAATATGAACTTTCTAATTCTTTAGTGCTATTATGAAGATATAGGAAGAGATGTAAGCAATTTGGAAAATGTAAAATATGAAGACCAACTCCCACAAACCAGTAGCTCACAGGATGTTATTTCTCCTGAGAAATTGTTGTGAGATTACACAAGGAATGCTCTAAAATAGCCCATTTTAAATAAAATGTTTACAGTCACACATGTTGTAGGAGCCTTGTGTCTTTATTGAGGTTTTTACAAGTGGACTGTAAAGAGGTAACTTTCCATGGTGGCCAGTCTTCTTCATTGAGGAAAATGATTCATTTAGGATGCCTTTGTGATTAGATTTTATGATTCCAAAATAAGACCTGTAGACCATTTCAGCATTTTATCTTAATGATAGTTTTACTGGAGGAAAAGTGGTACTCACCATCACCATCCTACTCCTCTGCTGCCAGAGGCCTCTTGCAGAGTAAGAAGTGTCCCTATTAATAATCAATGACCCTAAGGCTATTGGTGAGTCTCCATGTTTTAGTTCCATGAAGCATATAACACACCTTGCTGCTTCTGCCTCATTTCTCTAGAATGCCAGCAGTTACTCTGCAGCCATGACGGAGCCCAAGTCAGTGTGTGTCTCGGTGGATGAGGTCGTTTCTAGCAATGTGGATGATGCTGAGACGGACCTGCTGAATGGACATCTAAAGAAAGTTGACAATAATCTCATGGAAGCCCAGCGCTTTTCCTCCTTGCCTCGGAGGGCAGCTGTGAACATTGAATTCAAGGACCTCTCCTACTCTGTTCCTGAAGGACCTTGGTGGAGGAAGAAAGGTAGGGAGAGGGGTCATCTTGGTTGAGGAGTTGGAAGGAGCCTATGAAGGAAGCCAAGGGTTTTTTGGGAAAAAATCTGGTTTGGAAGTTAGGAGGCTGAGATTCTGTTCCAGTGCTGTCGCTGCCTTACCCATTGAATTGCTTTGTCCTTGGCTTCTTCTCACCTATCAACTGAACAGGTTGAACGAGGTGATCTCAGATGTCAAAGTGACCCCAAAATTCAGGGATATTATTGCACTATGAGTGTCCCTTTTTGGAAATGTTTGGGGCCAGAGTATTTCATGCTTTGGATTTTGGAATATTTGAATTTGGGGGAAGGGACCCAAGTATAGACATGACATTCATCAATATTTCATATACCCCTTACATACATCCCCTGAAGGTAATTTTATATCATATTTTTAATGCACCTGTATTTTGGTCGTGACTGTCACATGAGGTTAGGTATGGAGGTTTGTGCTTGTGGTCCTCAGGAAGTTAAGATTTTGGAGCATTTTGGATTTGTGGCATTGGATTAGGAGTGTTCGGCCTATAGACAGAATTTTGCAGAGGTGCTCAGTATGCATGCACTGGTTTCTGGCCTGTGTGCAGAGGGTCTTCATCAGTGGATGCTTTGTATTACTTTATGTCATTTTTCAAGATGGAAGCATTTTCTAGCCATTCAGAGAAAAACAGAAGGCAGGTGTGCTGCCTCCCAATTCTGAAGCTTTAAAAAAGCAGCCAGGGGCCTGGCATGACCTCCTCCTTTTTTTCATGTGAGGAGCTTGGAAGGACTCTTTAATTCGTGATACTTGTGGGCTGTTATAAAATTATCCAGGTCAGAAGTGGGCAGATGAAGCTGAGGAGGTCGCCGAGAGCCACACAATCCAGAACCTTGCCCTAGGCCTGAGGCATGTGGAAGGGAACTGAAGGCTTGTAGTTCAAGTCTCCCAGCAACTTTTTCTAGCTCTAGACTTTCAAAATGTGGAGTGTTCATGCCACCCAGGGTCAGCACTTGTTTCCCATCCTGATCTGTTTCTCTTTTTGGACCCCATTCTCCATCTTCCTCTGCTCCACGATCACATCACCCAATCATAAGTGGACCCATCCTTCAGGTGGGGGCAGCTGAGGGGCAGGTCAGATGTCACCAAGAAACACTGGTCTCTGGTTTCTATTGAGTCTCTGAAAGCAACTTGGAAATCCAAGAATTTGAGACAGCCAAAGTGACAGGTACTACTGGAAGACTGATTTTTTTTTTTTTAGGTATCCCAACTTAAATCCAGACTCAACCCTTCTTTCTCTTTGAAGACCAATCAAGACCCTGTTTTGATTTTTCCTTTTCATCTCTTCTCTTCCCTCTTCCTTTTGTTTTGCTTTTCTACCCTCTTGAAGCTAAGCCTGTGAGGTCGTTGGGATGCAGTCTGGCCTTGGTTGTAAACACAGTTTTGGAACCTTGATAGACTGATTCCCAGGACCTGTGAGCACAGAAGTTGTTGAATGATTATACCTGTGTTTGCACAACCAGAGAACAGATTCTGTCCCCTCTCAAAGGCCGATTGGATAGCTTTGTTATCTGACACTTGCATTTTTAGACCATGCCAGCCTGTTTTGTTAAGAAGGAAATTGTGCACCAGGTTCAGGTTTGGGCCCATTCTTTGGAGCCAGTTGTAATTTCAACACAGGAGCATAGCCTTTTCCTTCTCAACTGAGAAGATTTTAGGGAAAAACGCACCAGTGAGCCTCATTTGTTTGTGTAGATAAATTGTATCAAACCTGTGAGAGGCATAGAGTGATTTTTGTCCTTCTGTTATGTTTGGGCTGAGAGATGTCATCATGAGAGTTGACAATGTAGGATAAACACCCCATAGGATGAAAATGGCTTGCAATTTACAAGTGCAGACATGAAAATTCTGTCAGTGTCTCAGTTTGAAACCCAGCACACAAAGCCTGGCACAGGAGGTGCTCAGCCAATGGTGTTAGAAAGCATTATCCTCCTGACTTGGTCACCCCAAGTTCTCTAAGTGTTAAACTGGTCACATTCACCGTCAAAGTCAACAGGTGATGGCTTTTTTTCCCTGGTGTTGGGGATGGAACCCAGGGCTTTACGCATGCTAAGTAAATGCTGTATGTAGCATGGAGCCACATTCCCAGCCCAGGTGATGTCTTCTGTGTGAGTCAGGGCCACAAGTGTCTATTCTCAGTGGCCCTCTGGGAAACTCAGCCTGGTGGCCACTAAGTAGATAATGCCCTATAGTAACCTCTGTGGGCTCAGGCAGGGGAGGAGTCGGAAATGGGCCCTGCGGGACTTACCCATGAGTCAGAGATGGGAGATGAGTTGATAGGACCTGGTTGTTGGTTTCTCAACCAGCAAGGTATGATTTGCTTTGTGTCTTCCTCTCTAGTTCTCTTCTTCCTCCTCATTACCAGCAACCGGCTGTATCTTCTCTGTCCCTGCCCTTCCTCCCATGTGCCGGGTCCTCGGGCCTACAATTCAGAGTCTAGATGGTTTACCACCCCGGCATGAATTTAAGGTTGGAAATAATTGCCCATCTTCTCACTGGATATAAAGGAAACGGAGGCTGGGGGTGGGTTAGGGGCTTGTCTACACTCCTGACCTAGCAAGGGGCAGGCCTGGGACTACAGCATTGATTTCACACTCTGTGCAGGCACCACAGTAGCCATGTCTCACCTTAGCATGAAGCTTTCTGGGGTGCTAGGTCCTCCCAGTAGTCAGGGAAGTAGGGTTCTGCCTGGAGGCTCAGGTGCCCCAGGGAGTGTCTTAGTGGATTGATTGGACCATTGTGCTAGAGGCCACAGCCAGAAAGGCCTAGAGTTTCCCTTGCTGAAGGGCTTTAGTTGCCAAAGCCTTTCCCCATGCTCCCTGCTCTCCAATTACCAGTGTGCATGCAGCCAACTCAACTTGGGGGCTGTGTTTCCCCAACTCAGAACCCCACCAGGATGAACAGAAAAGTATGCGTTAAACTTGGACCCAGGCACTGGGGCTGCCTGAACTCAAGGATTCCCCCTTCATATGCCCTTCCCCTCTGTCTCTGCTTGTCTGCAGATTGTTTCCTTTGTCCTCCCCTGTGGTTCTTCCTTTTCCTGTTTTTGTTCTTCTGGTGGCTTATGACCATCTCATGGCCCCCAGCAATGACTGATGAAGCTGAGAGATCAAATCCCAGCCACTCTCTGCATTTCTCCTTCCTCATGGTGATGATTTTGGTTTGGCTTCATCTCTGTGTGGCTCCAAGGTGACACTTGAGCACAGGAGCAACTTCCCTACACTGTCACCTGATTAGTTTTGCTGTCTGCATCAAGGTTGATTGTTCTCAGCTTTTAAAATTCAACTTGATGTGTCGAGTTGACTGCTGCAACAGCCACCCCGGGGCCAGATGCCACCTCACTGCTGGAGGTGAGTTTGGCACGTCTAAGAGGAAAGCAGTTGTCAGAGCATCTGACCCAAGTACTTCGTATTTTGGTGAAGAAAACAAAAGCCCAGGAATAGAACATTTAGCCAAGGTCACAGTTAAAGCCGGGACCCAGTCATTACTTTCCATTACCAAGATGCTGGACCACTGTGTAGACTATAAGGAAGCCTCATAGGCTTCCTTCCAGAACATGGTGCTATGCACACACTTGACACTGAACACTGCACCAAACTGGGCCTTATGACTTTACTTACATTATAAACTCCTCCATAATTACCTTAAGGAAAGCAGACAGATTAAGGGAACTTTGCCATACTTAAAAGAAAGAGGATGAGGGAGTCAGAGCAGTAGTTCTCAGGAGATGCCAGGCTGATTCTTTATCTAAGACCTCGACAATTGCTAAGCATTGACTATGGTGTTTAACAAATATCTCCTATTTTCAATTGTAGTTACATTTTTCACCATGTGATTAATGATGTCTTTGGAGGAAAAACTAGATCGCATAATAGATTCCTGGTAGAGAACATAATTGTGAAAGGAGCTGTTCTCAGGAGGAAAAAGGCACACCCCAAGGAAAATTTCACAGGCTTCTGATACAGTAATTACCCTCCCTCTAGGACTCCTTACACATAGATCCAGTTGATGGGTGAATGACTCAGAACAATATGGCCTTTGGTGCCGCCACATGGTCTGTTGTGTCAGGGGACATAAGAAAGCAATCTCGTTCCATTGTTTCCCTTCACTCCAGTGTGGCTCCTGAAAGCATCTTATGCTTCCTGTGAGGCAGACACTATTGTTAACACTGAGGACCCTTGTTAAGAAGAGAATCCATATAAGGGAATTCCTAGATGAAGATGATGGTGATGAGATTTTATACAGACATGGCTCTGAGCCCATTCATGCAGGGGCCTCACTTTCATTAGGGGTACGATTGGCTACAAGTAACAAGGGGGTAACAATGTGTGCTGTCTTGACCCCACTGTCAGCACATATGGACCTTTTCCATATATAGCAACTAAATTAGGGCACTTCCGCAGTTTGCTTAGAGGGTTCTGTCCATTCTACCATGGACGGCCCTGACATGAAGCTTGGAGACCACCCAAAAGAAATAGCAGTAGGGAAGATGGGATGAGAAACCAAGTCTTCTGGGTTTCAGCAAGGTCAGTTACCCTTGAGGAACCTCATAAGTGCTCAGTGGGCCACCACAGGCAGATGCAATAATTAGGGTTGCCTTGGTTTACTCTCAGTTTCTTTCCTTTTCATTGGTCTGCTCCCATGCACTCACTGTTGGCCATTGATAAGGATATATAAAAAATGAGACCTCTTGAAACTATTCCAGGAATGGGAAGACGGGAGATGAAGGAGAATGATGGAGGGGGTGAATTCAACTCTGATACATTGTAAGAACTTTTGTAAATGTCACAATGGACTTCCAGTACAACAGTAATATGATAATAAAACAAACAATAAGGATACATGAAAGAATTCCATACTTCTTTGGAGAAATGCTCCTGTTCAAGCTCCATGACAGTGAGAGGAGCTGATGGATGGGTCCAACCTGCTTTCTTCCCAACAGGTGAGATGATTCTTAGA